CCCCCAACTGGGAATCAAACCATGACCTCCTGGTTCATAGGTGGATGCTCAACCACTGAGCCACTCCTGCCAGACAGTTCATTTCTTCTCTGTCAAACTATTAAGCCCACCCGTTAGGCCCCATATATCTGTACAAGTCTCCGAAGGAAGCTACCCTGCCCACAAGCTTGCTGCACAGTGAGTACCTCACAATTCATACCTGCAAACCACTGGGCTGGGCAGGAAAAGGACTGGAGATCAGAAGTCAGTTCGTTAGGGGGAATGATGTGCTTACAACCTCTTAAGCCGAAGTGTTCTCGTTCGTTTCAGGTAAGAATCTACGATCTCTCCAAATATGAGCATGGAGCAGATGATGTGCTGATCCTGGCAACGGATGGACTGTGGGATGTTTTATCAAATGAAGAAGTGGCAGAAGCAATCACTCAGTTTCTCCCTAACTGTGATCCTGATGACCCTCACAGGTTGGTGCATTTCTGTGATTATAGGGTTATTTCTTAAGCGGTGTTTTATAATGTGACTGAAATTCATAATAATCATGCATTTTCAACATTCGTGATTTATAGCAGAGCTAATAGGGATGGTTTAGTAACCAAACTGCAGAAGGAACTATATTTCGTATTAGAGGTACATTCACAGCCAAATAAAAATCCTAAGCCCTAACCGGTTTGGCTCAGTGGATAGAGCGTCGGCCTGCGGACTGAAGGGTCCCAGGTTCGATTCCAGTCAAGGGCATGTACCTTGGTTGCGGGCACATCCCCAGTGGGGGGCATGTAGGAGGCAGCTGATCGATGTTTCTAGCTCTCAATCCCTCTCCCTTCCTCTCTGTAAGAAATCAATAAAAAATGTTAAAAATATAAAAAAAAAGTCGTAAGTACAACCCAGGTACAAATGGTAAAGAATTTGATTTGTAAGATATTTCAATATCTTAGTTCATATTCTCCAAAGTATATTTTTATCCACTGGGAACTGTTTCTTTCCAGAAACATTGAGAAAGGAGAAATTTAAAGTAGATATTCTCTTATGGCGTAATGGCAGTGTAACTACCCTAAACAGCCCTAGGTGACTCTCAGATATGAACAGAAATCTCCTCTGGAGAAACAGTTTTCACTTAGAACACAAGATGCAAGCCTCCATGAGTAAAGCCAGCAGAAGCAACGGACAGCAGAGTTGGGCCTATAAATACTTCATTATTGGAAATATCAATCAAAAATATAAATATTTTTACATGTTTCAGAAAGGTTTTTAAAAGCATTGAAAATATGAACAAGAATAAAAGACTATAAAATATCTGCAGAGACTTCAAAAATAAGGAAGTGAAACTTCTGGAGACGAAAAATATAAAAATAGGAACTAAAATCACTGGATTAGAGAAATTAGAGGCAGTTGAAGAGAACACGAGTGAACTGGGAAATAGCACTAAATAAACCAGAATATGGCTCAGAGAGACAAAGAGAAGGAAAATGTGAAATGAGATTAAGAAACTAGGAGGATAACCTAAGATACTGTCATTAGAATTCCAAAAAGAAATTCTATAGCAGATGGGAAGAAAAAAAATGTTCTAGATTGTTAAGTAATACTAACCTTAAGATCCAGAAAGACCAACAAAGGAGAAGAAATGAAAATAAAATTATAATGGGCATTTTATAATGAAACTGAAAAACTTTAAACAAACAAAAAGATATAAAAGCAGCTAGAAAGATAAAACAGATACATAGGAATAGCATTTAGACTGACAGCTGAGTTTTCAAAAGCAATAGGAGCCAAAAGATAGTAAAATTATATCTTCAGTTAGATAAGAAAATAGCTCAATTTTTAGAATTTTCATGTGTAGTAAAAATATCAAAGAGGATGCAATAGACATTTTGGGGCAAAACAAAAATTTTACTGCCAGCCAACCTCCTCTGAAGAAAATTCTGAAGGATGTATTCAGATAAGAGGAAATGATCCCAGATGGAAGGTCTGAGAAGTAAGATAGATTACTAAGATATTAGTAAATATGTAGTTATACTTAAACATACATTAAATATATAAAACAGTAATAAGAATGTGATGTGTGGTATTAAAAATGAGAGGATTAAAATTCTGAATAAAAATAGCATATGGGGGGTAAGGGGATAGTAATCAGTAAAATATGCTGAGGTTCTATTTGAGAAGAGCTCAAAGTGTTTAACTGTAGACTCTAAGTAAATGTGTTTAAATAAGCAATTTTCATCAGATGTGCTACAAGAATTTTTAAAACATTCAATACCTGGCTGTCAGGGGCACTGGCCTCTTTTCCCTTAGATTGTCAAATACAACAATGACCATAGCCAACACAACAATAGCCATCCAGTGTGAATGAATCAATATTATGCCTTTTTTTCCTTTTGTCAGACTGACGAAAAAATAAAATATATTTTTGGTGTGCTGCAGAATTTTAGCAATTAGTTCATGTGTGCCACAAGATGAAAAGGGTTGAAAATTGCTGGTTAAATAGCTAAGAAAACTACTAAGAGAAATAGAAAGTGTAACTTTCAAACTAGTCAAGGGAGAGCATGTACCTTGGTTGTGGCCACATCCCCAGTGGGGGGTGTGAAGGAGGCATGTGATCGATGTTTCTCTCTCATTGATGTTTCTGACTCTCTATCTCTCTCCCTTCCTCTCTGTAAAAAATCAATAAAATATATTTTTTAAAAAAACCAAACTTCTAAAAGTTTTTACTTTTAAGTAAAAAACAAACAAAAAAAAACAATAAAAATTAGAAATTACTTGGGCATGAACAATAAGAAGAATGCTACATATCAAAACTTTAAAGGCTGAATTTTGAGCCTTTCCTAATTTGATGAGCTATATATAGATGAGAACTCCACTCACCCCTGACCTGCCAGAAGTGACTATACCCCCTCCATGTCATTGGGTAAATTTTTACAAAGCTGTGCCCTGTATCACAAGGAACTTCTACCCGTAAGTTTTCTATTCCAGACCACAGAAAAAGAAAAAGAGACCCTAAACCACAGAGAATGGTATTTCTCAGAATCAGACCTTGAGGCTGACTTGTATTACTGGGCTAGATCTGCTAATATTATCAATGTAAACATGTAGAAAAGAATTCTTGTAACTAAAGCTTCTAAGGAGCCAAAGGAGTGGAGCTATGTAATTGTGGATTGTGCTCTTTTCCCGTGTACAGGCTGTCAGTAAACAGCTGTCCTAATTTAAAAGTTTACGTCTGTGGTCCTTATTTCAACAACAGCATTCTATTTAGGAAGTGAAAACGGCACAATAAACCCAGGAGAAGTAATGAAAGGAAAAATTAAATATAACAAAATAGAGAACAAATATACAATGAAAATAAATGACAAAACCAAAATTTAAAACAGCTAATATATTAGGGAAATACAAATCAAAACCACAATGGGATACTACCTCACATTCATTTGGATGGCTATTTTAAAAACATACAGACACAAAATAAGTGTTGGTGAGGATGTGGAAAAATTGGAACCCTTTCGCATTGCTGCTGAGAATGTAAAATAGTACAGCTGTGGGAAAGGATATGGTACTTCCTTAAAAAATTAAACATAATTACCATATGACCCAGCAATTCTACCTCTGGATATATACCCAAATGAAGTGACAGAGGAACTCAAAGAGATATTTGTACACCCATGTTCATAGTAGCATTATCCACAGAAGCAAAAAGGTAGAAGCAGCCTAAGTATCCATAGACGAATGAATGAATAAAAATATATAGTATATACATACAATGGAATATTAACCTTAAAAAGAAAAGAAATTCCCACACATACTATAAAACTGATGAACCTTGAAGACATGGTAAGTCACAGAAGGACAAATATTGTATAATTCCATTTAATTGAGGTGCCTAGAGTAGTCACATTCATAAAGACAGAAAGTGAAATGGTGGTTGACAAAGGTTCGGGGGTGGGGTTAGAGATGGGAAGTTGTTGTTTAATGGACACAGAGTTTCCATTTGGGAAGATGAAAAATTTCTGGAGATGGATGGGGTGATTGTGCTGCACAACAATGTGAATGCACTTAATGCCACAAAACTGTACACTAAAAGATGGCTAAAGTGGTAAGTTTTATGTTTTGTATAGTTTACCACCAAAAAAAACACAAAGAAGCAAATTTTAAAAAGTAGATAAAATTTTCCATAAGACTAATCAAGAATAAAGAGGTGGGGGGCACTGACAAATAAACAGTATTAGGAATTTAAAAAAAAAATGATCCAGATGCAGCAGCAATTAAATATAAGAGGATATTATGAACATATACCTATTCATCAGTGGGGACATTATAAAGATATTAATTCTCCCTAAATTGATCTAGAATCAGTACAGTTTATAACCAAAATTCCAATGGAGTTTTCATGGAACTGCATAAGCTGATGTTAGACATACGTGGGGAAAAAAATGCCAAGAATGTTTGTGACATTTCTATGAGTCATACCCTTTTGACATTAATACAAAATCAGAACAATTATGACAGTGTAGAGAAAATATAAAATTTCATCCTTCTTTCACATCATACACTAAAATCAAGTCTAGGCAAATTAAGACTTACATGTGAAAGGCAAAAATAAATACAACTTTTAGAAAATAGCATATAGGAAACTATAATCTCAGAATAGAGGATTTCTTAGAACACAGAAAGTACAAACAATTAAAGACTGATAACCTTGACAACATTAAACTTACCAACTTTGGTTCTTCAAAAAACAACATTCTATATAATAAAACCCTAATATGCAAATCGACTGAACGGTGGAACAACCAGTCGCTATGACACGCACTGACCACCAGGGGGCAGACGCTTAACGCAGGGGCTGCCCCCAGGTGGTCAGTGCACTCCCACAGTGGGGAGTGCCACTCAGGCAGAAGCTGGGCTCAGGACTGGCGAGCACAGCGGATGTGGTGGGAGCCTCTCCTGCCTCCGCAGCAGCACTAAGGAGCAGCAAACTGAGCGGTACCGAGCAGCAAGCAAGCGGGCAGTAAAGAGTGAGGGGTCCTGAACTGTGAGAGCCCTGGACTGCGAGAGGATGCAGGTCAGGCTGAGGAAACCCCCCGTCCTAGGTCACGAATTTCGTGCATTGGACCTCTAGTAAAGGGAATAAAATGACAAGCCATGAACTGGGAGAAGATTTTTGCAACTCGTATAACTAAAGAGGGATTGATATCCATAAAATATAATGAATTCTCCTAGTCAAAAAAGAAAATATTTTTAAAAATTCAATAGAAAAATGAGCAAGAACCAGTCATCACACAGAAAATTAAAGGCCAATAATGAAAAAAACATCTTAAATTGAATAGTATAAGTTAAAAATGTGGAAGGACCACAGATGGGTTTGCAAATTTATAGAAAGATTCAGAAGACATACTGACATATCTGGTAAAACAGAGCCTATTACACATACCCTGTCTTACACCTAGGTCTGTACCCAAGAGTAGTGGATCTGAAAGTG